AAGAAAGAAAAGTTCTCTGCTCCTTAGGGCTGTGAGATTAAAATTGGGCCCAGGATGAGTTCCTATTTTAATACATCTGCAAAGTCCCTTTTGCCATGGAATTTCACATATCCACAGGTTCCAGGAATTGGAGCATGGACATCTTTGGGGTTACCTTCATTCTGCCTACTTCATCCCTCCTAGGAGGCCCAGTTCTCCTTTTTGGTATGTGCAGTTGGGACAGGGATTGTTTTGCCTGTCTGAGCCTCAGTTTCTTCATCGGTAGAATTGGTTTCATATTAGCACATACAAACTAGGATCGTGGAGAAGAGTAGTTGCCTTCATTTCTGCAGAGGTTTTGTCATTGGTCCTGGCACTAGCATTATCATTCATCTTGATGACAGGGCCAGGGTCCACAGGAAGGCATGGGACTGGGTCCATGGGAATTGAGATCTGTCTTTTCGATTTAGTAAGCCCAGAAAGTGGGCTTTTCTGGTCACCCAGCCAGTCAGTGTTGGAGCCAGAACACTCACAAAACTGAACCACCACTTCCAGCCCCGTTCTCCTGCACAGCAGTAGGTGATGGCCTCTGGGAAGTCCAGCCTCCAGAGACTCCCAATCTTTGCTGCCTCTGTCAGTGGCACCTGGAAAGGAGGGTCTCTCTGGCAGCATAGGAAGGAAAATTGGAGTCACTGTTAACCCTTAAAGAAGCTTCCCCGCTGGGCACCAATCACTCACGTCTGAAAATCCTAGATAGCTACTCAGGAGGCAGACATTCAGGAGGATTTGCGATTCGAAGCCAACCCCAGGCAAATAGTTCACAAGACCCTATCTTGAAAAAAACCCTTCAGAAGAGGGCTGGTGAGTGGAGTGGCTGAAGGTGTAGGCCCTGAGTTCAAACCTGTACTGCAAAAAAAGAAGCTTTCCAAGTGTGGCAAGAGTGTGCACAGACCTTCTCACATTTCCTCTCTGCTGTAGCCCTATGAGCGAAGAAAAAGAAAACTCCTATTTCACAGATGAGGATAATTTGAGGACCCAGGGAGGGCAATGGGAAGAAAGGTGCAAAGGAATTAAATTCCTGTGATGTTGTTGCACTTAAGCTAGCTTAAGTCCTCACCTTGACAAGACCTACTTCCAAGTAACTTTCCCTCATTGCTTGCTGAAGAAAACAGCTCAGAGACTGTGGGAAATTTGCTCAAAGTTCAACAGCCAGAAAAGGGCAAGACCCAGAAATTCTTCTCTTTCCATCAGACCAGGTGTCCTTGTGAGGAGAGCATGCAGTGTCCATGACCATAGACTCCTGGAGGCAAAGCTGTTCTCATCTCTGAACAGGACCTCTCTCCTGCCCACCTGGCAGTGCCTGTGATGACACCCACCAGCCTGGGGAAGAAGAGCCATGGGACACAACGCCATCCACAGGCAAAAATCAAATCTTGTGCTCTAGAACACAAAGTTGCAGTTTCCTGTTACCAAGGCAACACCAACACCTCCATTCCCCAGGACAGGAGCAGAGCTAATCTCACCCCACCCTTCGCTCAAGCCCACTCAAAGTCCTTCCATCTCTAAGACTCTATGATTCAATTAATTATCACCAATGCCTACGCTGTTTTTTGTCATTTTCATTTATTCCATCTGCTGAATCACCATGTCCTGCTCTGGATTAGAGAGGCTATTCACTAGAACATTTGGCCTCTGGTTGCCATGGACACCTTTCAGCCTACATCCTTCATCACCTGTTAATTCTCAACAAGGCTGGCTGTGAGCGTGGGTACCACTGCCCTTATCGAAGACCCAAGGGGCATCAAAACCCCCCCTAACAAGAAAAGGGGACTGGTGAAACATAAACAAGGGCAAAATGTCTAGTTCCAACTGTGGAAAAATCAAAAACAGCATAGAGCTCATTACATCTGGCCAAACCATGTGGAGGCAGCAATTTATCAAATAAGTCAACAAATGTACCATTTTGCTTTCTGGTATGTCTTTGGCAAATGCTGTAGTCTTTTGGCTAGTCATTTTAAGATGTATTTTTATAGTACAAAGTTATGAATGCTTTATGCAGATTACTCTCTGTCCTTGAAATCAAAATGAAGGAGCCTTGAAATATAGGATCCTCTAGGAACGGGCTCTGGGGAAGGGGTTTGCGAGGGGTGGGGGATAATCACAAGGAGATGGAAGAGGCTGCTGCAGGCCAAATCCAGTCTAGCAACTGGACGCCACTGGCTCATGCTTGTAATCCTAGCTACTTGGGAGGCTGAGATCAGAAAGATTGAGGTTGAAGGCCAGAGGGGGCAAATAGTTCATGAAACCCCCCCCATCTCCAAAATAACCAAAGCAAAATGCACTGGAGGCCTGGCTCAAGTGGTAAAGTGCTTGCTTTACAAGCACATAGCCATGAGTTCAAACCTCAGTACCACCAAAAAAAAATAAAAAAACAATCCCAGCCCAGCATAGAGGACAAAGAGGAAAGGGAGACGCTGAGGGTTTTCCATGGTAAGGGAGGGTGAAATTGTTCATTGTCAACCAGGACGTGAGGCACTCAGCAGAATGAGCAGGCCCATCAACCCATGGCCCATTGCTCCTGATAACTACAACACATCCTGTTTGCAGAGGCTGGTGAAGAGGACAGGGATCAGTATGTCACATTTACCCTGCCCATCAAGCATCAATGTATGGGGAAAATATGATCTTTCTGACTCTAGGGTCACTCTCTCGGTTCATGCCTCTCACCTACCCACCGCCATGGACATAATCCAAGGGATGAGTATGAGGCTGTAACCCCAAAGCTATGGTAGGGAGCACTGTTCCTGGCATGGGGAGCTTGATTCCTGCCTACCCCTGTACCTAGCTCATGAGTTGCCCCCACCCTGCTCCAGCCCCTCCCTTCCCTCACACCCCAATGACTGACACTGTGTGGGTGGGGCAAGGGTGACAGGTTGTACCTGTGCCCCGTGCTTATTTTTTTCACTGTGGGGAGCTTGACCTCATGTGGGAGGAGCACTTGGGAGGGACTCTGAGGACTTTAAAAAGTGCCTGAGCACCAAGCAGAGCAGAGAGCTGACCCAGCCACCGCACTACCCACCTCCCAGCTCTGCAGGTGAGAACCAAGAGGGGAGGGGAGGGCAAGGAAGAGGCTTGAAGGGTCCCCTCCCCAACAAGATAGCAGGCCACTGGCCAGAGGCTAGGGCTCACACCTTCGTGTCTCCAGCGCTAGGACTCTTCCCTTAACCCAGGGTGAAACTAGGTGTCAGCTCTAGGACCATGCTGGCATTCCCAGATCTTGTCTTCTGCCTGGCCCTTCTGCTACAAGCAGGGCCTGACCTTGCCCTTCTACTCCATGCTCATTGCAGCCCAGGGAGGAAGGTGAGAAGTATAGGGGTTCTTCTCCCATCATTCAGATGAGAAAACAGAGGCCCAGAGGGCAGATGTGACTCGCCCTAATTACTAGGTAGGACTGAGACTGAAACTTACAACTCCTGGATCCCATCTCAAACTCCCTCCTAGACCAGCACTGCCCAAAAGAACTTTCCATGATGATGGAAGTGCTCTGTGTCCAGTATGACAGCCGCTAGCCACATAGGCACTTGAAATGTGTCCAAAGAAGGAAATTTCTTTGTAATTCACTTAAATTTAACTATATTAAATTATATTATTTTATTTAATTATTTACTTGTGGTTAATGGATACTCTGTTGGGCAACGTGTGGCTCGTATTGGACAGTATAGGTTTAGATTAATGATTTTCAACTTTTGTTTCTTTGGCAGAATTCTTTTTTTTGGGTGGAGGGGAATTGATGGTACTGGAGTTTGCAATCAGGGCCTCAGGGTTGCTAGGCAGGCACTTTACCACTTCAACCACTCCACCAGCTGTGGCAATAGAATTCTTTGGTTGAGGGGATTGGGTGTTTTATTTGGCAGTACTGGGGTTTGAACTCAGGGCCTCACACTTGCTAGGCAGGTGCTCTATCACTCTACCACTTCAGCCACTCTCTCTGCCAGCCCTTTTTTCGTTTTGTTTTGTTTTTTTGAGACAGGTCTTACTATGTAGCCCAGGCTAACCTTGAACTCAAGATCTTCCTGTCTCCATTGCCCAAATGTTGGGAACACAGGCCTATGCCACCATGCCCACCTAGCAGAATTCTTTTTCCCTTTCTCCCAAAAGAAACTTAACCCAAGAACCTCATTGTGAAAAAGCATTAAATGTAGTATTTTATTGGACTGGGAGCATGATTCAGGTGGCAGAGCGCCCGCCTAGAAGTTAAAGACTTGAGTTCAAACTCTAGTACTGCCGAAAATAAATAAATAAAATAGTACTTTATTAGTGTAAATGTATTCTTACAGGAGAAGTTTTATCATTTACTCCTGATAGAGCCAATAAGAACAATAATGCTACAAAGAACACAAAAATAGTGAATGTAAAGAACAGGTGACACTTTGAATTTTGTTTGGGTATCATACTTACTTCTAGGCTGTGTTTTCCCCCAAAGTCGATTCACCCTTGTACTTAGTTGTGAATAGTGAGAGTTTAATTTTTTCTCAACTGCTGAAGGACAATCACAGGATATTCTGCAACCATGGCAGAAACTTTCTTCTGTAGCCTACACAAAAATGATGTGACCCCCACCACATGGTCGTTATGCTGGTGGTCTCCAAGGTGGCATTGTGTGTTCTGTAACACCCTTCAGTGTGTGTGCTCCTTGTTGTCACTATTTAAAAGTTCACTTTAAGCCGCAAGACTTAAACATCTACAGAAATGCTGACATGGCATCAGATCCCACAGAGCAGTCTAGACCACTGCTCTCCAATCAAGCAGTGGCTATCAGGAGGGTAAGGAGAAAAGGCAAGATCTGGGGGCCAGGGGAGCTGGCAGGAATTGGAGAAGGGAGCGAAAGAAACAGCATGACACCCCTCGCAGTATCACAAGTCTGTTGCCAGGCAGAAGCCACCACCTGGAGCCCTTCTGGTCTATCTCCCTACTGCTGAACCTGCATGGGGACAGTCCCTCCTCTCCCCTTTACAGACAAGATGCAGCGACTTTGTGCGTACACACTGATCTTGGTACTGGCTCTGGCCGCCTTCTCCGAAGCTTCTTGGAAGCCCCGCTCCCAGCTACAGGATGTACCCTCGGGTCCAGCAACCAACAGGGACCTGGAGCCTCACTGGCCAGACCAGCTGGGCCCAGCCTCTCACCACAGAAGGCAGCTGGGGCCACAGGGTCCTCCATACCTTGTAGCAGGTAGGAGCTGTTAAGCACTCCCCTGTTTCCCTTGCTCAGCTAGATCTGACAAAGGTCCCCCCATATTTGCTCTGCCTCAGTTCCTGTGTCCTTCCCCCATTCTCACCTTCTGTCACCTTTTCAGACCTGTCCAAGAAGAAGGGACCATGGATGGAGGAGGAAGAAGAAGCATATGGATGGATGGACTTCGGTCGTCGCAGTGCTGAGGAAGGGGACCAGCGTTCCTAGAAACCAGCTTCAGAACCCAGCCACCTTACCTCACCCTAGCCCTGTCCCATGCAAAATAAATCACAATAAACAATCCAATGGATCACTGGATTGTGTTTTGTACTAAGGGAATAGCGGACAGGGTTGAGGCAGGGAGGAAAGGGAGCACCCTCTGGCAGCAGGGACCAGAACTAATTCTCTGTGTCTCCAGAGAGCAACCCTGAACAAGAACCTACCAGAGTTGGGTGGGAGAATGGGTGGGGGGGGGTCTGCAGCCACAGCAAGCTTTTTAAAAGATAACTCAAATTGTGTTACTTTTGGTTTAATCCTTCCAAGTCTTCCCATAGCATTTAGGATTAAACCCCATTTCCTTACCAAAGCCCTAAGAGGTATGCCATCTTTTCCTCCCCTGGACACTCCATGTCTTCCTCTTCATCCTCCTCTCCCTTCCTTTCCTTACACAGTTACACCATGCTCTTTCCTGCTCAGAACCTTTTTCCTTGCTGTCCCTGGTGCCTGGAATGCTCTTCCCCTGGCATAACCTAGCAGGCTCTCCTTTTCTGCTTAGGCCTTGGTTGAAATGCCTCTTCCCTCTTCCTGAGAGACCTACCCTTCATGATCCTCACCCTTCACGCACAGACCCCATTACTCTAGGACGGCCTCATTTTCTTTACAGCACATTCCACGATTTGTAGCTGTTTTTTTACCAGTTTATCATCTGCCTCTCTGGCTGTGAGAGTGGGGACCACATGTCCCTCTTCCCTGCTGTATCCTCAGTGCCAAAACCAGAAGGAACCCAATAAACACTTGTCAAATAGATGGGTGGCAAAGGCACTTGTTGGTGTCTCACTCCTAGTCCCTTATTGTTCTCATGTCAGTCAACAGCATCTGTCACAGGCACAAGCTGCTCTCTACCTGAGGGCTGGAGGGGAAGGAAAAAATATCCTTCCTCTACAGAGCATAGGTTCATGGCTGGGGCTCTGTAATAAAGGAAAAATTACAAAAGAAAAACAAACAAGTAACTGGGCACCAGTGGCTCACGTCCATAATCCTAGCTACTCAGGAGGCAGAGATCAAAAGAATCCCAGTTTGAAGTCAGTCTGGGCAAATAGTTTGCAAGACCATCTCTGGAAAATACCCAATATTAAAAAAAAAACAGGGCTGACAGAGTAGCTCAAATGGTAGAGTGCTTGTCTAGCAAGCATGGGGCCCTGAGTTCAAACCCCAGTACTGCAAAAAAAAAGAAAAGCAAACAAGTTTCTCAACATGTATATCCATTTAACACATGAAGTCCCCAGAGATACATAACTCAAAGAGGTGGTGGCTCAGAATTCAGGCTCTTGAGGCCCTGGGTTCAATCCCAGCACCAAAATACAATCAAACAAAAAACCAATAGAGTTGGTTGACTACTGTCAACTACCAGAGAATCCCTAAGGAAGAAATGATAAGCCCAGGCCAGCCAAATATCAACTCAAGATACGGTATGAAAATCAAACAGTCCCCAGTTGCAGCAAGGGAAGATTGTGCTACAAGTCAAGGCTGAGATCTGAGACCACCCACTACAGAAGAGGTACTGAACAACCAGGTGGACAAGAATGGCTTGTCCAATGCAAGTCAGCCCAGACTCAGTCCCAGCCAGCCACTCTATACTTGCACATACAGTGACAGTGATGAGGGTGACAGAGGTTATGCATGGGCCCAATCGTTAATCTAGCCACCCAGCGGCAAATACCAATTCTGGGCCCTTGATGGAGTACCCTCCCTCAAGGAGATCAACAGTTACTTGTTGGTAAGTTGCTTACATCAGACACCTTCCATATAGGAGCCAGTGAATTGTCTTGTGGGGACTGATACATATTCTAAGTATAGGATGTCCTGCTCACAGATCCAGCCAAGTGCTTACAGAGAGACCCTCATGGGAAATCCCCATGACTTACCATCATGGGATCCTGTGACACATGACCTCAAACCAAGAGACCTATTTCACGATGAAGAAGGTACAGCAAAGAGCACATGGCCATGGGATCTACGTGTCCTAACATTTACCACATGGCCTGAAACTGCAGACTAATGAAAGGTTGGAATCAAAGATGCAACGAAAACACCAACTCAGGGCCGATACCCTGGTAGTTAGGACATAGTACAGACTCTGAACTAAAGGCCATAACGTAGGGATAGCCAGAACATAGGGATCCAGGGACCAGAGGGCAAAAATGGAAGTGGTCCCCGTCATCATCACTCACAGGGGCCCACCTAAGGAATTTGTGCTTCCTGTCCCCACAACTTTGGATGTGCTGGACTAGAAATCTTACTTATTGGGAACACTTCTACCAGGGAATTCAGTGAAGATTCCCCTAAATCTAAGGTTACAGGGCTGAGGGTAAAGCTCAAGGGTAGAGCACTTGCCAAGCATGCATGAGACCCTAGGTTTGATCCCTAAAGACCACAAAAAAATAAAGTTATAGCTGCTGACTGGCCACATTTGGCTCTTCATGCCAGCACACCAGCAGGTAAAGAAAAGTAAATGACTATCAGAGGTACTGTCCTTGCTTATCATAGGAACTAAGACTATGGCATCATGACAAGGACAGGAAGGACCATGTTGACTCACTCAGGTGCCTCTTGCTGCTTCCTGCATTGTGAAAACCATAAACAAGCAATGATAGCAATCTGGCCTGACAAGGGCATGGTAACCCAAGTTCAGACCTCTCAGGAATGTTCTCTCTGCCAGGGAAGCAACCTGGACCAGCTGAAGGGCTGGCCAAGGATGAAGGGGGTAACAGAGTAGTAGAAGATGACAAATATCTAGGACCAATTGCTGAAGTAAGGATGGGTGCTTGTACCATTCACCCTGTTTTCTTTTCTCTTCCTTTATTTTTTTCTTTTTAAAACATACTGTAGTCAGCCACCATTTTACAAAAAGGATTGCCAGGTGTTTATTCTGTACCATTGTATGTTGGAAGCAACTTTCTTTTTGATTTTACAGGAGCTTACAGCTAACAGTTGCCTTGAATGGCAGAAGAGACTCTGGACTTGGACTTTTGAGCAACACTAGAACTGTTAAGACTTTGGGAACTCTTGGAGATGGACTCAATGCATTTTGTATTATAAGATTGGCATTAGCCTTTTGGTAGTCATGGGTAGAATGTTATGGTTTGGATATGAAGTGTGTGTGTGTGTGTGTGTGTGTGTGTGTGTGAGAGAGAGAGAGAGAGAGAGAGAGAGAGAGAGAGAGAAAGAGAGAGAGAGAGTAGTCCTCTCTTCCCCCACCACACACCAAAGAGGCTCATGTGTTGAAAGTTTGGTCCCCAGGTGGATACAATCATTGAGAGGTGATCAAATCATAAGGACTCAACCTAATCAATGGATTGAGCCACTGATGGATTCATAATTTGATGACATTATTGGGAATTGATGGAAAATTTTGGAGGTGGGGCCTGATTGTATGAAGTAAGTCGGGGCGGGGGGGAGAAGGCATAAGGGCAGTATTTTCCAGGATACCCCTGTCTCTTCCTCTCTCTGCTTCCTGTCTGTCATGAGGTGAGCTGCTTGCCCCCAACATGTTCCACCTCACCTCAGGCCCACACCAATGGAGCCAGCCAACCACAGCCCAACACCCTGGAACCATGAGCCAAAACAAGTCTTTCTTCCCTTAAGTTGTTTTTTATTTGTTTTTGCCTTCCGGTCAAAACCTTTTATTATTATTATTATTATTATTATTATTATTATTATGCTGGGTGGGGGTTTATGGTGACATTTACAAAAGTTCTTACAATATGTCATACTTGAATTCACCTCCCCTCCCTTAAGTTGTTTATGTCAGGTATTTTTTCACATCAATAAACCACTAACTCATCAGGCCAGAGTGAACGCCACACAGAACCTGAGTTCACCTGGATGCTACAAAGGGTGGTGTGGCAAACACTGTCGGTGCCCTCCCTTGCAGAACATGCTGGCCATGTCCTGCGAAAGCATCAGGTGTTCCCTGTTCAGGCCTTCTCCTCTGCCCTTGCAAGGCCAATGGCAGAGCTAACGGCCCAGGGGGAGCATCAGCTAGGGAGGAAGGCAAGTGGAAGGAGGCACACCCCAGTTCCCTCACCCTTCCGTGGTAACTGAGACGGGTTCAGCATTGGTGTGCCTGAAACTCTCACATGCACTTGACTTACCTGGGAATCGTGTGCAGGTGCTAATTCTATAGGTCTGGGCCAGGACCTGAGACTCTACAATTCTGATTCCCAGATGGCAGTGACACTGGTCCACAAACCACATCTGAGTTGTAAAGGGCTATACTTTCTCCCAAAAAGAGTTTCCCTGAGCCTCTGTTGCTTAAAACTCCTCCCTCCTTACCTTCCTGTTACTTCCTGACTTCCCACTAAGAGTGCTTCCTGGGATTGTCTCCAGATAAGCTACCTGTCCTCAAACCCTGTTATGGGTCAGTTTCTGGGGGACCTGAGCCTAAGACTGGATGACTGCCTTTCCAAAAGACAGGGCAAAAGAACCAGAGCATGGGGACAGAGTCTCTGGGGCAGTCAGGATCAGGAAAGGGAGCCTACTGGAGCATGGGCTGGCCACAAGGACTTGGGTTCAACCGCAGCACTATGACCAGCTTTTAAGTCCTTGTGAAGGTCACTGAACCTTCCTGGGCCTCAGTTTCACCATCTGACAAATGTTTGTCACATGACCCACCACTCCACAGGGGTTGTTGATATGCATTTGTATTTAATAGCAATCTTTAATATGTCAATATCAGAGTCCATCTTCTCTCCACAACTTTGCCTCTGTAAAATGTGCACAACACACACACACACACATGGATGTACACATGCACACCACACTTCCTGAGAAAGATGGCTGGAAGCTGTCCAGGTAGCGCACAGATCCTTTATTTCCTGCACCAGCACATATACAGGCTGACAAGCAACAAGACTGAGAAGCACAGTGGGGGGTGCAGCAGGCACCAAGGGGATCCTGAGCCCCAGAAACCAGCTGTTTATGAGCAAAGATGTGGGGGAGGGAAGAACATCTAGAACGAGGAAACAAGGGGCACTGAGGGGGGACAGTGGGAGGGAAGCACTGGGCCTTGGGTGAGGAGCTGGGACACTCACAGGCCACAGGAGGCAGTGGGGAGCAGGGGGCAGAGCAGAGACATACCACTAGGCAGAGGGACCCCTCACCCACCTGCACACCCACACATAGATGGTCCCCTGAAGTCCACAAGGACTTGGGACCACCTTTAATTTGGGGGCCAAGGAACAGAGAGCATGTTGTTAGGAGGGTCCTCCCAACAACTGCCTACCCTTGGGACTTAAGCCTCTGCCCAGCCCAGTTGCACCCATCTCAAAGTTGGGTCTTTTAGCCAGCTGCCCTCCCCCTGGGCTATTTCCAACTTCAGAGTCACCACATGATCTAGGCCTAGCAGCCATTGCTTCTGCACCAGCTGCAGAATGAAGACCGGGCCTCCTTCACCCTGTTCCCAAGAAGATGCAGACTTGTGCCCTCAGGCTCCAGCCCAGGTTCACCAGGACAAATCGGGGGCTGGTGACATCCTGTTTTGGAGGAGGGGGAAGGAGGGTCTGGGGGGGATGGGGCTTGACCAGGCAGCGGAAGGAGGGGCCTCAAGCTATCTGTGGGGCCTCTGCAGGCTGCTGGGAAACAGCAAAGCCTGGAAGAGAAAGGGGTGGATGTGAACTGGGAGCCTGATGACCACAGGCCTGGCCTGGGCAGCAGGCAGGATCTGGTCAGCTGTATCAAAAAGAGACAGAAAGCCACCATTGATAGCTATGCAGGTCATCCACTGCCCAGATCAGAAGTTGTGATTCAGTTTACAACCAGCACAACCTTACATAGCTGCCTTCCTGAAGCCAGTGTTATTCTACCCACTGGTGATCAAAGGGCCATCATAGTGGCAGCAGGCCAGATATAAAGGAGGCTACCAAAAAGTAACAAACTTCAGGGCTGACCCAGCAGGCCACATGGGACACCAGGACAGCACTGGAGATGAGGGGGAAATGGGAGGGGTTGGCATAGTGGTGAAGCCAACTTACAGCTTCACTACTCACAGCAGGAACAGGCTCCGATCTATATAACCTTGGACAAGCCACTTTAGCTCTCTGAACCTCAGCTTCTTCACCTAATAAATTGGGTACACTCATACCTACTAACAGGGGTATGAGGATTAAAGGGACCAATACACAAGGGGACAATGTAAGGGGTCCAATCTGTCACTAGATCGTCTTTGATCACACTGAGACCCTCACAGACGGGCCCAGGAGGCCTGCATTCAACAGGTGCAGCTCCCCAAATCTGGGCTTTCTAACTAAGGACAGGAGACCCTGACCCACCCCACCACCCTGCAGGAGACCCCATCCCAACCCACACTCACCCAGGGGACTTGTCCAGCTGTGGCCCTCGCAGGCGGAGGCCTTCATCCCAATGGCCTAGGTAGCCCCAGAAGGCCCCTCTTCCTCCCAGGCCCTGGGAGGGTAGCTGGCCCTCTCCTCCAACCTCAGAAAGTCCTGGTTCAGCACCCAAGGCTGCCGCTCCATGATCCCACCCCCCATGTTTGTTTTGGCCTGCTGCAGGGTTGGGGAGCCTTGGGGATAGAGGAGTTGGGGTGGAGGGTAGGGGAAGGAGGTGGGCAGAGACAGGAAGCTGAGATGCAGTGTTGGGGATATAGTCCAGGCCCTGATCCCCAGCCCAGCCCCCAGGGGCAAAGTAGGTGGAAATCTGGACTTGGAAGAAAATTCCACATAAATGAGCATTGGGGCCACAGTTCCTGCTGAGGAGACCTAAGGAGCCTATGCAAATGATATGCAAAGTCCATGCAAATCAGTACACTGGGTGGGGCCAGGCTAGGGTAAGTGAGCGCTCTGTGGGGCTCACCTACCCTCATCGGTTTGATGATCTGCAGCTGGCCCGGCTGGCTGGAGGGAGGCCCCCATGGGAGCACTCACCTTTTTTTTGGAGCATCTTCTGCTTCAGCTGCCGCCTGCAATGGGCATCCTGCCAGTTGGCCAGTTGCTGGAGGACATACTTCATGTCCAGATGTGAAGGGCCCAGGCCACTGGCCTCCAAGGCAGAGGTCACCACATTCATTCGAGTGGCCTCATCCAGCTCGGGCTCCAGCTCCTCCCAGGCCTCGGTCTCCTCAGACATCAGCTCTTCCTCTTCAGTTAACCCTTCCTCAGTTAGCCCCACCTCTTCTGTACCCCCCAGGTCCTCCTCAGGTGCGAGCTCAAAATCTTTTGGTGGCATAGACCCCTTATGAGCCTTGAACTCCTGCTTCTGCTCTCGATCCTCCCTGTAGCGAAGGTCGTATCTGGGGAGGGAGACAGTAACATCTTTCTAGACCCTGCCAACCCTGCCAGGGCTCCCAGCACCGAGCTTGACTCCCCCAGGATAATATTTCACCAAACAGTTAATTGCCATAGGAACAAATGTTTTGTATAGGGCTTCTATAGGTCCTTGCTCAAGGACACACAGTCAGTAAAGGGACCAAGTTGGGACTGAGTCCCAGACGTTCCCAGATCCTAGGCCATTTGTCTCTCAATCCTTCATCAGGTGAAGGGATGATGTTGGTCTCCACTTGTAGTGGCCTTAAGTCAGACAGTCACCCAGGGGCCAAGATTTGAAGGAAAGAAGGACAGTAACTTCCTGAGGTAACGCTCAGTATAGAGGGCCCAGAGAAAGGAACCTTCCCAAGGATGTAGGGTCTCAGAAACCACTGCAGGTGTTTGGTTGCTAAAAAGTGAGGAGAGGTGATGGGGAGCTCCTGGCCAGCTTACCCCAGGTTTGATGTCTGCCCCACAGGCATCCCATAATTCCTTAACAGAGAGCAGGACATTCAGCATACTGAGCAGGGAAGCTGAAATTGCGGAGTCCCTGGGGCCCAGTCATGCCACAAAGTCCCAAGGAGAAATGATGGTCCAAGACATGTTAAGAGCAGAAGGGGCTGGACAGTAAGTGAAGCAGCACAGAGAGGCAGGACGAATACCAGGGAAAGCACAGAAGGGCACAGGCATGACAGCCACCCCCTCCCCACTCAGGTGAGCCAGGGTGAGCATGGTCAGGCCAGGTCTGGGAGTCCCAGAAACACACCTTTCCATAAAATACGCAGGGTCTGACATGATTCTCCTTAGAGATGTCCTGAGCTCCTCAGCCAGGGTCTCTGGGAAATTTGGAAGTGCCCCCTATGGTGAAGAGGGGAGACACTGCCAGAGGACTCTCCAACACCCCCACCCACACTCACAGAAAGGGACTGGGGATAGAAATTAGCCAGTAGGGCAGAGACGCAGGGCACAAGAGGTAAAAGGCAAGCCGCAGGGAAGGGTCCTACCAGAGGCACGGTGTATGCGTAGTGGGTGACGGAGTCAGTGGGCACCGGAGGGTGCTGATGGAGGCTCTTCACCCCCTCTTTGCACTCACACAGCATGCCCCTGCAATCTGTGTACCTCTCACACAGGTCCTGAATCTGGGAGCCAGCCCGCAGGCTCTGTGGGGACCCAGGGCCATCCAGTCCTCACTCTTGCCTGCCCTTGCCTCAGGCCAAGAGGCCAGAGGCCCAGGCTCCAGACCCAAATAGTGGCACGCAGGGTGTTCCCAGGCAGGTCCCTGCACTCCACTCCACTCTAACCTCCACTGAATTGGTGCATGCTGGTCTATAGTCCAGACAGGGAGGAGGCAGAAAGGGACAGTTTCTGCTTGCAAGCTGCTTATCCTCTCAGGAGTCAGGCAGACCAAGGCCTTCCGGTCCCTCACTCAGGACAGGGGCTCTTAAAGGCAGGACAGGAACATAGCTGGGCCTCTCACCTCTGCCTGGAGCTGCATGTGGATTCCCTTCTCCAATGCCAGCTGCTGCTGCAGCTTTTCAGTCTCAGCCCCATACTGGAAGAATGCAAAACCCGTGAACCCCTCCACGGCCTCCCCACTCCCAGTATCCCCTGCTCCAGCAGTATTCCCACACATCTTTGGCAATCCCAAGTGGAAAGTCACATGGAATGATGGCCAATAAAGTAGGAGAGTTTTGTGGCTCAGTTCCCTGGGTGAGTCTAATACCCTCTCTAGGAGGCTCTTGGTCCCTTCCTTAGGACAGTGAGCAGGCAGGATGAGGGTTCTCTAGTTATCTCTACCAACTCTGCCACCTACACAGAGAGGATCCTTGGGTCTAGTGGAGCCCAGAGCTTCATAAGATGGGACAGGGAGAAGGAGGATGGGCTCAGTGGGGCCTCAAAAAGGGGAGGGATCCCCACACCCCAGCTCACCGACTTGCAGCGCTGCTGCAGCTTCACAATCTGGTCCTGCAGCTGGGTGATCTCCTTCTGCTGCCGTTCATAATTCTCCAGCCTGAGCACCAGCACCTCAGACAGCTCGGCCATCTGCTGGCTAGCCTCAGCTGCAGAGGGAGCATAGGTTCAGCCCTGGGCCCTACCTCCCCCTGGTATGCCTGTATGCCTGTCTTTTTCCCATTCCTCGGCTCCCCTAGAGGGCCAAGGGGTCCCACAAGAGCTCAACATTCCTCACTCAGGTCTTGTTGTCAAGAGATGTTTATTGACATTAAGCAGAGGACTGGGGCACATGGTCAAGAAGACCTGGTCCAAGCTCATACTGAGCTCCAGTCTAGGGAGGAGACAGCAGTGAAAAAGAACTCACAGTCATGCGTAACATGGGCTCTGATGTCAAGCATGTAGAGTGGAAGTGGCAGGGGAGGATCACAGCTGCAGCACCCAATCTAACCCAGCTTTGCAAGGTCTGGGAAGGATTCCTGAAAGAAGGACCCTCTAGCTAAGACCACCGATTCCAATTGAGTCTCTACCAGGCAAAGAAGGAAGATGCAAGCCCAAGTAAAGTAGGAAAAGGCCAGGAGCAATCATTGGACAGTAGGAGGGTGCAATCAGGGCAATGGGTAAAGCCCAGATTACAAAAGCCAGGGGAATGGCTGGGGTTATCCTTTGGTCACTAGGAAGCTATTTCATATAGGCTGTGTGCAGAGGGCCTGGAAAGGCAGAAGTAGGGGCGAGGAGACCCCCATCAGAGGGCAGGAATAAGGAAGAGGGAAGACTTAAGCCATTCCTAGAGGTAGAGGCAATAGAACTTGTGGACTGGCTCCTACTCCAGTAGCCTGGAGACCAGATGGGCCATTAAGGAAGCTGAGGAACCCAGGGGGAAGTAAGGTCAGGCTTGAGGTAAGGGGACAGCATGAGCTCAGCTGTTGTCCTTTGAGTATGCATCTCAGTAGCTAGGCTGAGACCCTTGGAGACAGATGCTGTGTCTCACTCATCATAAACACAGTGCCTGGGCTGGTACTGGGCACAACCTCTCCACATGACTATAAACGACCACAGCCCTGGGTATCTGGTATCTGGCAGCAGCTGGCTCCCTCACCCCCTATCCTGAATAACACAGAGGCTTGAGGAACACCACCACTTCTGCACAACTCTTTACACTTTGCACAACACGATTTCTCAGCTGTGACCTCTCTTGATATCATAAACCCTGAGAAGATCAGTGGGCTGGAATTATTAATTCCCACTCTAAAGATGAAGGTTCAGAGAGGTCAAGGAACTCATTGATGCTTACACAGTTAGGAAGTTCCAGAACTGGGACCTGATCTCAGGTCTCCAGACTCCCACTCCTCCCTACCCTGAGTTACAACATCACGTACAAAACTGCTCCACACATTCCAGAATGAGCATCTGTTCCTCATCCTCCAAGGTGTCGAGTTGAGAAGCCTGAAGGGAGGGAAAGAGAAAGGGGCAGGGCTGTCACCAACCCCCCCCCCCCGCCTGCAGGCATGCCCTCCTCCCTGTCCTCACCTCTTCTCTCAGATGGTCATTCTCCTCCTCCAGCAGCTTGAGCTTCTGCTGCAGGGCTTCTATCTGTGGGCAGTGGTGCAGTGACTCCTCCTGAGGGGTCCTGGGGAGGGAGAAATAGGAGTCAGGGCACAGGGAGGGGAGGTTCTCAGTTCCCAGCCCACCCAGGGCTTTTCCACCCCAGCTAAAGGCGGTAGTCTCAATAAGTGCCAGAGACCTCACTGGAGACACACTGCCTGTATTTCCATTTACAAATGAGCAAACTGAGTGCTCAGAGAAGGGACCCCACACACACAAGGTGCAAAAAGGCAGGACACGCACGGCTTGGGGGCCTTGTAGGGATGGTCATGCTGCCGATCTTCCTCTCTTCTGTGTTCCTTCTCCTCTTCCTGCTCCTCCTCTTCCTCTTCTTCCTCCTCTTCATCCTCATCCTCATCCTCAGAGTCTGAGTAGAGCTGAAGGAGGTCATCTCGCAAGTTCACCTGATGTCTGAGGTGCAAAATCTGACAGGAGAAGGGAGGAGAGAGGAGCCATGGGTTGGGGAGTGGACAGGCACAGGAGCAGGTGCTCCTCCCTCACAGTTACCTCCTTCCTGGCTGAGCCCAGCATGGCTTCCAGTTTGCTGTTCTCCTCCATCAGCACACTGTTCTGTTTCACCAGAGACTGCCCAATGCGAGCTGCTGTATTCAGATCTCTCTCTTTCTGCAGAGAAACCAGCACCCATAGGGAATACTTTCGCAGTTTGGGGGCCCTCCCAGAAATGGGTGTAGCTAGGGAGTACCCAGAGATCAGTAGAAAGGCCACTAGGAGAAACCCTCCAATCTCCCAGTTCTCCAGGTACTGTGAGACCTGACTCAGGCTCCCCTTCCAGAAAAAGAGCAAAATCAGCCCAGGCCACTGAGCACTACCTGCTTTCCAGAAGAGGGACCCTCAGCCTGGTCCCCTTAAAGAGCAAAATTAAGATGGGGGGTCTGCCTAAGACTGGGGCCTGGCCTTAGTGGGGAAGGTGGTACACACCTCCTCTAGTAAATACAGCATCACTTTGACATCTTCTTGGGTGATCTTCTTGACTGGAGGAGGGTTAGGACATAAGGCTGTAGGAAGAATATCCAGACCATGTCAGGAAACCCACGTAGTGGACCCGCAGTCCACTGCTTCCCTCAACACCAAGGGCCATGGAGTGAGGAGACTAAGAGCTCCTTCCTACCCCCAACGCCATCCCCCACAGCTAGGTACTTAGCACTTCCTTGTGCTGGACTGGGCTCTTCCCCACTCTCCAGTTCTAGATGTAGTAAAGGGATCACAGTCTACCAGGCTCAGGAGCTGGGCTCTCAGGACGCCTGGGCCCATGGGTCCCTGGAAGAACGAAGGCAGCTAAGAGAAGACTGACTCATCACCCCTTACCCAACGGGCCGCTTGGCCAGCTCATTGGCGCCTGTGGGTCATAAAAACAGACGCAGTCACCCACCCTGCACCTGTTGCGTGTAACTAGGAAAGAATGGAGAGAATCCTCCAGCACCATGCAGGGGGCACAGGAGCCTCCAGACCCAACCCAGAGATCTACCCCCGCCCAGAAGACGGTGGGAGGGAAGAGGAGGGACAAAAGCCTGAGGCCCTGAGTGACCTAGACCCCAACAGCCAAGTTGCCTAAGCCTCGCTCTCCGCCCACCCACCTCTCCGGCTCCAGCGAGCCCAGCGGGCCAGCGCAGGCTCAGAGCACTTTGGGCAGCGCCTTCCCGCAGCCCCCGCCCCTCTGCTGGCACTGCGGTAGACGGGGAGGGGGCACTGAGAGTGAGCGATCTGCCGCAGCAACAGGCGCGAAGAGGGGGGCGGGGAAGAACGCGGGCCCTGGACCTGACGCACTGAGAAAAATCAGGGGACCACAGAGGGAGGACGAAATGAGGAAGAGGCGACTAGACAGGCACCGCAGGCAGTGGTTTATGGGACAAAATGGAGAGGTGAGAGTGAGTGCCTGAGGGGGCGGGGCTCCTCTCCGGAGATGCCCCAGTAGCACCCGCTCCAGAATCCCGAGGACCCAGTTTACCTTCCTGCAGCTCTCGAATAAAGGCAGCACGCTCAGGGCCGGACACGCCGGGCCGCCGGCCAATATAGGCAGCAGGAGTCTTCCAGATGCCCGCCGCCTTTCCAGTCCCCAGATCAGTGGCCCGGGGTCCAAAGGGCCCTTGAAATACGAAGCGGGTCCATGGCGCATCCGAGTTGTCGAGCACGGACCGGCCAGACGCGCGCTGGGCTCCTGTCTTGGCTCCAGTCTGGGAGGCCGGGCGAGCTCCGGACTGGGATCCAGAGGTTGCTCGGGATCCCGCTCGCTGTCCAGTCCCTGGTGCCTGCGCGGGGGCGGGCTCGGCCTCTGCCGAGGGCTCTAGGGCAGGACTGGATGAGGGCGGGGGCGCAGGGGTGACTCCTGCTGAGTCCCCGGGCCCGGAGCCGGACCCCGGCCGGTCCGCAGCACAGCTCTGACCAGGTTCTTTAGGGCGCATCTTGAGTCCGCACTCCGCTGCCGCAGCCCGGCTTTTATAACCTGTGCCAGGAGCTGGCATCACCGGGCCGTACCACATGTGAGAATGGGGGTGGTCAAGGAGCAACTAGTGATGCCTGGGACTCAGAATCGCGCCCCACTGGAGCTAATGGTGATGGAACAGAGGCAAAAAATAAAGATAAGGCAGGAAATGTGAGTGTGTGTCCAGCTGATTCTGTGGGCTTGGGCTCATAATGAAGGATTTTTCATCTCCCTTCCGTCTCCGGAGAATGGTTCTTCCCAAAGCTGCCACTTCTCAGGACTCCCCTGCTCCAGCCACCCGGGCTTCCGAGTGCCTTCCCTGGTGTCGCACCAACCAAACAACGTTGTAAATACTGACCCGGGAGACCTGTGAGTTTGGACAGTACGTATTGTGTCTTCCTGGGTTGAGCGGGTGATAAATCCGAACTCCAGGACAGCTTTCAACGAGCTGCCAAGCATGGCGCGTCATACCTCGCGCACACACCCCCTTGCTCGCCACTGCACATCTTCCACCTTACTGAGTTTCCTCGTACTCTACCTCCATCCTTAATTTGCTTTATCCACCTCCTGCCATCCTGGCAAACACCTGTTCTAGGGAGAGCCCATTTAAATGTCTGGCTGTGACGACTCCTCTGACACTCACGCCCCTTCCCGCGCGCCCGGAGCATCCCTTATCCGGTGACCTGTATTACTCAGATATCTGTCTTCAAGAACAGACTTGGCCCCCTTTAACTCCAGGACCATGTCCCTCCGAGAGCAGCACAGAACCGGATATTTCTGAAGGTCGCCTTAAATCCTGAATGAACCGGGAGGTGGCAGAGGATGGCAGAGGAGCGTGGTGACTATTTCTGCGTCTTTGGACCAGGGAAACCTACAGGCTAAAAAGGGATGACAGTCGCACTGACTCTTTTCAAACCTGAGGATCCTTCTTGGAGTCTCCATTTCTTCTTAATATTCAGTCAGTCACCACTGCCTGCCGGATTTACTTTTTCAATACTTCTCAAATGTTCGCCCATTGCTGCTCAGCTCTTCTGCTGGTTTTTCATCCTCTTTTCTCAGATTATTATCGTACCCACATTCCACGTGCAAACAGCCACCCCTCCCCCAGGTGCATTAATCCATCTCTAGTTCATCCCTCTGACACACACTCCTATCTAAGCTAAGGAATTCCAGGGGTCCCTCTCCCCACAGCCTGAACCCCAGAAAGGGGAGGTTGCCCAAGATTTTCACCTGGGACAGAGGCTCCTAGTCCCTCTGAGGCCAGTATTCCATGATACACCCTGGAACAGGGAAGACAACCCACGAAGGTTGTGAGTCCCCTGTTTGAAGGCCCTGGCTTTAGAATGTTTCCTTCTGAGTTAATTCCTTCACCATTGACAAGCACTTATGGAGTGCCTGCCATATATCATATGCCAGGCATTGTGCTAAACTCAGGCTAGAGCAGGGAATGAAAGAAATGAGATTTCTACTCTCCTGAAATTTAGATTCCAGAAGGGGAGGCAGATAAACAAGAAAACAAGTAAGATAATTACAGATCTCAGTAAATTCTCTGAAGAATACAAAGAGCTATGGCTGAGAAAAACACGGAAGTACCTACTCAGAGAGGGTGGAGGAAAACATCAATTGCGTAGTATTTTGCATTTCAGCCCACACCTGGGATGTCAGTCTACACAGCCCACTCAGATTCCCCTCCCTCCCCAGGATCCAGTATTTCTCACTCCTGGTTGCTGACTGAATTCTGGTGGCAATTTACCTCCTTGCCCACACATCCTTCACACTTCCATCATCCCCTCAGAGATTCAGCTGCCCCCAGTCTGTTCTGTCTAATTAGATTGTCACTGAAATATTGCCTCCAAATTCAACCCCTACGTTAGTGGAAATAAAGAAATGGTACCCTTGTTGAACTTGAACCTCTTCCTGTCCACCTGCCCTCACCCCTTCTTCTCCTTCTCTCCTTCCATTCAGACCCTAGGTCCTCCTGATCTCTGCCTCCTGAGTAGCTAGGATTACAGGCGTGAGCCTGGATGCATGTTTTGTATGTATGGATAGTATCAATAGTACTGATGAGTGCTATCCCATTCTACATCTGTGTTACATGCACATGTAGCCTTTGATAAATACCTGGATTGTCTTCATATTAGGACTACTATGAATCAAACTACTGTGAACAGTCTTCTGTTTCGTTTAGTTTTGAGACAGATCTGTGTAGCCCAGGCTGGCCTGGAACTCAAAATCCTCCTGCCTTAGCCTTTGGAGTACTAAGATTATAGTATACCTGGCAAATGCTTTTAATTTTGGTAATGACCAATTTTCAGGGCTTTTTTTTTTTCTCTTGTGGATCATTTTCATCTTTAGGAACCCCTTTTCTGATATGTAGCACCAATGTGTTGTCATGGAAATGGCACAGATAAGGAGCCACACACCTGGATTTGAATCCTGCCTCTGCCTCTTACCGTAGGTATAGCTTCAGCTTCCATGTCTATAAAATGAGATCAATAATTTAATATATTTAATTTACCAAGTTAAAGGCTCCAGATAATGCTCAGCAAACATGAGCCTCTTCAACTACCCAAGGGTTGGACCTCAGGGTGGGTGTGTTAGTCTGCTCAGGCTGCCATAACAAGATACCACAGACTGGGTGGCTTAAAAAACAGAAATTTATTGTTTCACAGTTCTAGAGGCTGGAAATTGGAGATCGAGGTGCCAGCAGGACTGTTTTCTGATGAGGCCTCTTCCTCAACTTGCAGACAATGTCCCCTGGCCACATCTTCACATGGCCTTTCTTCTATATGCATTTGGGTAGAGACAGAGAAAATTTGGGTGTCTCTTCCTCTTGTCAGAAGGGCACCAGTTCTATCATATTAGAGCCCCACCCATATGACTTCATTTAACCTTAATGACCCCCTTAAAAGTTCTGTCGCCAAATACTGGGGTTTAGGGCTTTAAAAATGAAATGTTGGGGTTATAAAAGTAGATTTTGAGTTTTACTATTTTTCCCCCTATTTGAGTGCTGGCAATCAAAGCCAGGGCCTTATGCATGCTAGGCAAATTCTCTACCACTGAGCCATACCTCCAGTCCACAAATTTTACTATTCTAAAATATGAAAAATAATATGAAGGGTTTTCTTTTTTTGGTGGGACTAGAGTTTGAACTCAGGGCTTCAAGTTTGCAAAGCAGGCACTGTTCTCCTTGAACCTTACCAGTCCATTTTGATCTGGTTATTTTGGAGACGGGCATCTCAAGAACTATTTGCCAAGACTGGTCTCAAACCACAATCCTCCCAATCTCAGCTTCCCAAGTAGCTAGGATTACAGGTGTGCACGACCAGCTTCTAGTTCACATGAAGGTGTTTTTTAAAAAAACGTGTTATTTAATACATTTCCTGACTTGTGATCTAGTTACTCCACTTCTGAGAAAAGGCTTCAGGAACTAACCAAAAGAAAAATGGAGTCTTTTGCACAATGATGTTCTAAATAATGCAAAGGAAAACCAGCTTTGGTGGAGAGAATCAGGAGTTCTGTCTTGAACAAGGTAAATTTAAGATGCTCAGGAAGTATTCAAGTAGAAATGTTGGGCAGACAACCAGATGTCTAAATCTAGGTAATCTTTAGGGAGAGGTGGGGGCTGGAGATTCAAATTTTAAAAATTGCTCTGTAGGTCTGGTGGTTCACACCTGTAATCCTAGCTATTTAGGAGGCAGAGATTAGGAGGATCTCAGTTGGAAGCCAGCCTGGGGAAATAGTTCAAGAAGCCCTACCTCAAAAATACCCAACACTAGCACCTGCCTAGCAAGTGTGAGAACCCAGAGTTCAAGGCCAAGTACCACCAAAAAAAAAAAAAGAGAGAGAGAAATAAAAGTACCCAACACTAAACAGGGCTCACAGAGTGGCTTAAATGGTAAAGTACCTGCCTAGCAAGCATGAGACCCTGAGTTCAAACCCCTTTACCACCAAAAAGTAAAAATAAAATGAATAAAAGTTGGTCTATGATTATAATTTAAAGCTGTGAGGCTGGGTGAGATCCCTGAGGAAAGATGGGCAAGAGAGCCCAGTAATAGAGGTCAGGTAAAGAAGGACAATGTACCAAGGTGGGTTGAGAAGAATGGGGCAGTGAAGTAAAGAGAAATCAAAAGAGTTGGTTCCTAGAAGAAAGGAAGGGATATGGATGAAGGAGAGAGAGGCCACCTGGGTTGAAGGATGGTGTTGTCAGATCAAGCAGACTGAGGACAAAGAATCAACTTGGAAGATGGAGGTCATGGAAAACCTCGGCAAGAGCTGTCCTGCTGAAGCAGTGGAGGCAAGAGAGACTGAGAAGTGAGGAAATAATGAAAACTCCTTTGAAGAACTTTACAACAAAGAAACAAAAAAGGGATTGGGAGCTTAAAGCAGATGTGGGCACTAGTGAGGGGTTTTTGTTTGTTTGGTGGTACTGGGGCTTGAACTCAGGGCCTTCACCTTGAGCCAAGATAGGGTCTCACGAACTCTCGTGTCCTGCACAAGCTTGTCCTAGAAATCTGAGGGTGGCAGGAGATGCAGAAAGGACAACAGACAGAAGACAAAACACGCATAAAGCAGGAGCCAGGTAGGCTGTGTGCTCAGATGGACACACTAGCACCCCTCCACCTCCAGTGCGTTTATTATATACAGTGGCAACACGAGGTAAAGAGGCATTTCTCAGGGGAGGGGGCGTGACATTGTAATCCTTGGGAACAGGAGAAACCTGTGACAGCTTCTCTCTGAATGTAAACATCTTAGGAAAAACAGCTGTACTGCATCTTGTCCACTTCTGCAGCTGAGGCTGTGCCAATCAAGCAAATACTGGACATAACTCTACTTGGTCCCTTCTGTGGTTTGGGGCTGTGCCAAACTCAAACATGCAATATAACTGTCAGCTCCCAACAGCGAACTATTTGCCCAGGCTGGCTTCAAACAGAGATCCTTCTGATCTCTGCCTCCTGAGTAGCTAGGATTACAGAAGTG